GCTGTATACAACATCATACCATCGTACAACGCCGTATCATCCTCCATCACGACAATGCGAGTTCTCACACCGCACACAGAACAAAAGAGTTTTTAGAGCACGAAAACATAGAATTATTAGACCATCCGCCGTACAGCCCCGACCTAAGCCCTAATGATTTCTATACTTTCCCTAAAATAAAGAATAAAGGCCATCCTCCTTTCGTGGACAGAGATTTTCATCAAGCTGTGGACGCCTACAAAACGGCCATTTTGGAGACCCCAACTTCCAAATGGAATGGTTGCTTCAATGATTGGTTCCATCGTATGGAAAAATGTGTCAAATTTCGCGGAGAATACTTCGAAAAGCAATAAATATATTTTTAAATAGTAATGTTGTGTCACTTCCTTGATTCCCGAAATTTTCAGTGCCGCCGTATAATAAGTAACATTAGTGTGACTTCTCTTGTTGCAGATTAGATGATAAATATCTTATATTGGGGTTGTAGAAACCTATATATTACACAAATTAATTTTTAAATACAGTTGTGTCAACGAAATTGACTATTATGCTATGCGTAAACGAACTATGCATTCCTTGGAAGAGGCGTGGACTTGTGAAGGGCTGTAATGATGATGATGACGATGAAACGAACAAAGCGTCACTAGCATTGATAATATGCGATGTAACTAGGATCACTCGCGTTCGTTCGTAACATAACACACAGTCTTCATAATGAAGTTTGTGATCGGTGGCGTCCCCAAAATATTATGTCGCGTGCCATCAATGGCATGCGCGCTGTTGGTACGCCACCCCTGATTTAGGCAAACATGAGTAAGCGAAAAAGCATAATAGTAAATATGGCAACAAAATGCTATCTCGCTTCGCCGCGCCGGTACTTATTTTTTATTATTATTGCGACGTGAAGTGAGACTATCGAGTGTTTTAAAAGTTGGAATACGTGCAACCTAGTAGAAAAGAATAGAATAGAATAGAGCAGGTGGCTGGAGGCCCATTCCCCCCCCCCCCCCCCACTTAACATGGTAGCGGAATTTAGTGAAGAACTACCACAGGAGGATAACATCCTCGTGACGGAGAATCCCTCGCTGAGCATCCACGACCAAGTTTTCTTACTCTTTCTGAGCGTGGGTGCGTATTCTGGGGGGAGGGGGGAAATTCCAAAAACTGCTTGGGGCAAGCGGAACAACAACACCATGGCGACCCCTGCCACGCTATCCGTAACATTTTGCAACATCAGGGGACTTCATTCCAACCTTATCGCTGTACACTACCATCTGGAGACGGCGAAGCCGGCCTTGCTCTTTTTAACCGAGACTCAGTTGTCCTCTCCAGTGATGTATTTTATAAAAAGACGATATCTCGCTACACGTTAGCTGTCTAACTTTGATAAGCATAGTAGTGTGCTAACTTTAAAAAACGTGGCACGCTCAGCGAAACAAAAAATCTCATTGTTCTATTTCATTTCTTTACACGGTATCGGCGTAAGTTGCACTTTCTCTTGTGTGACTAAAAGATATCAATTCACCTATAGCATTCTCGGTCTACGGGGCAAACCTTTGATATAAGTTCTAATATCTATGGGGCAAACGAGCATGCGGCTCACCTGATGTTAAGTGACTACCGCCGCCCATAATCAACCGCAACACCTTGAGAATTGCAAGTGCGTTGCCGGCTCTTAAGAATGGAGTAAGCTCTTTTCTTTACGATCCCCAAAGCGTATCGGTCCGGAAAAATCACCGGTGGTAAAATATTCCACAGAGAGGTCGTACGTGGAAGAAAACTCCTTGTGAAACGTACAGTGGTGGACCGCCAAGCATCCAAATGGTGTGGATGGTATCGAGACATTTGCCGCGTAGTGCGTTCACGAAGTTTGGCAGCTAGGATTAATCCGAACAATTCCTCAGAGCACTCCCCATGGTATATGAGAAAGAAAATGCAAAGAAATGCAACATGTCTTCGCAGCGCCAGTGAATCGAGCCGATTAGAAAGCACTCGGTCGTCAACGATTCAAGCCGCTCTGCGCTGGAAGTGGAAGGCGCTGGCACCGGGGAGCCCAAACTCAGAGATGGGAACAGTATTCCATGTACAACCTGCGCCTTGTAAAGTTGTATGTGGTGTGCCGGCATGAAATACTGCCCCGCTCTGCTGAGCACGCTAAGCTGTTTAGAGGCCAATTTGGCCTTCCCCTCTAAATGACCACGAAACTGCACTGACTGATTCCGATGGTGGCTGATGGAACAATGGGAGTGCTTTCAAATTGATGAGATACGTCAAAGGAGTTCTTTTTAACGGTTAACGCGGAAACTTGTGTCATCTGAGGGTTAAACTGGACTAGATTTAGTCGCCCCCAATCCGAGATTTTGTTCAGCAAAGACTCGACTTCAGACACAAGTTTGTCCTAGTGCTCGGAGACGTTTTCCCGAGAAATATTGGCACGGCCGGTGTACAGAGCATCACTAGCGCTGTCATCTGCATAGCAATGAATGTTACGGGTTTGCAACATATTATTGACACGCAGAAAAAACAGCGTTGGCAGCACGCAACCTTGTGGAACACCAGCATTAATAGGCTTGTAATCAGAGCTTCCACCATCTACAACGACTTTGATGCTCCAAACTGCAAGAAAGCTGGTGATCCAATTGCACAATTTCTCGGGAAACCCATAGGAAGGGAGCTTCGAAAGAAACGCTTTGTGCCAAACCCGATCGAAGGCCTTCGCAATGTACTTACGGCCAATGCCTCCCCCTTGGACTCTACTGCCTCCGCCCATCTATGAGTTAGGTAGACCAGAAGATCACTAGCTGATCGACCACGGCGAAAACCGTATTGGCGATCACTAATCAGCTGGTGATCCTCAAGGTACCTCATGAGCTGGCAGTTTGCAATGCACTCCATTGTTTTGGAGAACAAGAAGGTGATGTCGATAGGCCTGTGGTTGGACGGGTCTGAGCGGTCGCCTATTTTAGGGATTGGGTGGACGAAAGCCGTCTTCCATGATTTTGGGACTACGCCTAGGGAATCGCCGGAAAAGACGCGTTAAAACCGGTGCCAATTCTGGAGCACACGTCCTCGGCACAATTGGGGGTATTCCATCAGGCCCACTCGACTTGTGGATGTCCAGGGAGAGGAATGCTTTGCGAACCGAGCGCTGTGTGAACTGCACTTCCGACATGGAGCACTCACACCGCGGGATGATCGGCGGCGTACTCCCCCATCGAGAGTCGAGTTCGACGCAAAGAAAGTGCCTAGTAGATCGGTTTTCTCCTTTGCGGTATGGCCCAGTGAGTCGTCCTCCCTGTGCAGAGATGGAAGAGATGGCTGACAGAAATTCCCCTGAACATCCTTGGCGAGATACCAGATTGTACGGGTTCCAGAAGGAAGGTGAACTAGTTTCTCGCCAATTCTGCCTATGTGCACTGACTTTGCCTTGGCAATGACTCTTTTGAAGGACCCGGAAGCAGAATTATACTTCTTTTTTAGAGTGCTGGTGTTTACATCCCGGGACGTTGAAGCGTCAGCCCAGGCTTGGTAGCACTCCTGTTAATTGTGAATTTTAACCTAAAATCTTTGGTACTGCCAGCTTTTATATGAATTATTACCCACTATTTTAGGAAATAATAATATGTATTCTGCGGTGTCTATTGATTAAATATCTGAAAGATTTAATGGCTTGTTGCAGTGTTCCTGAACATGATAATTTACGTCGGAATTGGATTGTAGCTACAGGACATTTTTAGGATAAAATGTTAATAAAAAAGAAGAAACTTACCCTGCTAATACCTAATGCTGTATCTGTTATAGTAAATATTCAGTTAATGGCATATTAAGTTTCGATCCAGGTTTAATAGGATTTTTATATATGTTTAGTGTTTTTAATTTTCAATTATTTTATCAATTTTGAAAATTAAAAAATTGTTAGGGGCGTACTCCAATGGTTTGGGCACGTTGAGCGAATGAGTGAAGACCGAATGGTGAAGAAAATATATAGAGCGAAAGTAAATATTAAAAGGTGTCGAGGTAGACCGAGACTAACTTTCGAAGACCATGTGAGCAAATTGCTCGAAGAGGGGAAGGTCAAGAGTACTCGGATACCTAGACGTGCATGTATTAAGAAGTTAATGAACCTGAAAGAAGCGAAAGAGGTATATAAGGATCGTGACACTTGGCGATCTGTTCTCTCTGGCTACCCCGTTAGGGATTGTGCGTGAAGATAAGTAAGTAAGTAAGTAAGTAGTATTTTTAGCACTATTTAGTAGAATGCTAGTTGCAAATATTATTTGTTATATATATATATATATATATATATATATATATATATATATATATATATATATATATATATATATATATATATATTGTTAACTATAAATGACTGAGACAGGCTTGTCTTAGACTTTGAATGAGATTCAAGTTTAAATCAACATTAAAACTTAAATCTCGTTTAGAATTAAAATTAGTATTTTTTACTTAATTGAACTTTAAAATCAATTTTCTGTATAAAGCATCTTCCTATTTTGTATTCGTTAATGTTTCTTCTTTGAAACATTAATGAAAATTAATTTTTCAAAGATAATTAACCTTTTTAGGAAACAAAAGCCTGTATTCCATCATTTTTCTCCATCAGTATACATGAAGAAACACTTTTGAAAATAGAAAATAATCTAAGCATTCATGTTCATATTAAATGAAAATAATATTATTTTCTTTCGACCCAATTTAGTATTTAGCCATGTATTCTACTGTATTAAAATAAATCTTGAAAAATCTTGGTACATTAATTCATTATCAAGCCGTTTGATCAAAGGATGTTATGAAACCAAAAGTGTGGCAGATTTAACATATAAATCCGGTCCTACCGTTGCCCTCCTGCTGTCGAATAGAAGAACCTAAACGTTGTGCGAGTAAAATATATCTATTCATACAAAATAATTGTCAAACTATACGGAGAAAAAGATGCTGATTTATTGATACAGTGTGATCATCTTGTGGAATTAGGCTGGATGTTTCAGCGACCATTTGAATTAGGACTCTCTTATGGTGTAATTAAGAACATCGAATTAGATCTATCAGAAAAAGTACTGTTAGAATCTATTTCTTGCTCAATTGAGGTGGCCAACGTGAAACGACTCAAACGCAGAAAGCAGGGGGATGGAGAATCTGGCTGGACTGAAAGTGAATCGGTACGAGTTGGTTTCATAGGGTCTACGTCATCATCGTATCTGTGCATATATGACATGCAAGTTAAGGTGGAGCCATACCTATTTCCTGTTACTCAGTGTTCGAGATGCTGGCGCTTTGGGCACACCCTTAGAATGTGTCCTTCAAAACGTATATACTGCCTCAAATGTGGAGGTAAGCATGAAAATTGCGAAACAACAATATTTAAGTGTATTAATTGTACGAAAAATCACATGGCATTGAATCGTCAGTGTCCAAAATATATAAAAGAGAAGAAGTTACGGGAAATAATGGCTGAATTTAATATTTCATACAGGAAGGCTATGGCAATGTATGTACCGCCCGAAACACCTACTTATGTGCCAACTCCATCGCCAATACCCCGTTTAGATAATTTAAATAAGATGCCTCAATGGAGAAGATAACAAGGTTACAATATTAGACTTTTAAGTACGTAGGTAAAAAGTCTAGACCAAACACATAATTCTAGTTTTTATTTCACATCGATCGGTGCACTATTACCGAAGTTATAAGCGTGGAAAGTTTACGTACATTTTTAAAATCTCGCACGTGCCCGCGAGTAGCGCATGACGTCATTCGTTCCATGCGGCCGCGCCGCCATACCGTTCCAGCGCGCCGATCATACGTTTGTAGTAATATTTCGCGGGTGAGTTGTTTGCCCTCGTTCGCTCTGGTGTTTTTAAGTATTTAATGATGGAAGAAGGGTTTCAAAAGGGTCAATCTGACAACCTTCCAATAGTCCGTGACATGATGGTGGCGGAATATTTTCTAAGAAACAAAGATTTTGTCGCGGCTGAAATACGCGGAGTCAAAATGAAAAGGTAGGTATAAGAATAAGATAATATTTTTATAACCTAGGTACCCATTATTACATTAATACTTCTGGGTTTCATTTGCTAATGATAAGAATAGGTTCAGCCTCTCGGTCTCGTCTGTGAGGTGGCTGATTTCAGCCAGTAAAAAATTAAAATTAAATTTATTTAACCACGCCATTAAAACAAGGTCACATTTCGCGGCTAAATTCGTTTATTTCTTTATCTTTCTCTGTGGAATAAGACCGTAACTATGTTCATTATGAACTTGGCTGTATGATATACGTTACTACTAGTAACGTCTATAGAAAAAATAAAAAGAATCTTGTCATTGTCATTGAAGTTCCGTTGATTTCGTTGAATAAACGTGTGATAATTTTGCTTTTAAAATTGTGAATTACATAAACATCTTTTTTAAGTTTGAGGCGACCACCAACTAGTTTGTACTTCACGTAGTTTTCCATATCGTTTTCGACCTAGAACAAAATACAAACTTATTTAAAGTCTATAAAAAAATAAGGAACCTCGTAATTTGTATTCCATCAATATTTAAAATATGTACCAACTATGTAATACATAAAAATACGACAACACGAAAAAAAATTTAAGTGCTTCACTTCTTAATCAATCTTATTCCATTATTTGCGGCCCGCAAAGTATGAAAGTTGAACAGCTCTGCGTGTGTGTTTAGTTTTTGCTTGAAATATCGTAAAAATATAAAAACGTTTGTTAACATATTCTATATTTTAACCTTTATATGCATTATAAACATTTTAAAATTTACTGCAAACATAGGTAAGTATCTAAACTTACGAACTCACGACAGGTTTGGATGTTTATTTACACTGAAGTAGTTTTAGTTAAATATGTAGGTATTAGGTATTGTTTCTTCTTGAAATTATAATGATCATTAAGCGTGGAAAGGTTCAATGAATCATTAGTTACTGAAACACTGCGACTCGAGTAGATACCTACATGCCTAATAGAAAGCATTTACTAGCAATAACCAAGACCTATCATGTGAAGGTTATTATTATTTGAATACTCGAAATAACTCTAATCGAAATGGTCCTCACAACAAAATGCTACCGTGTTCGGTCCTAAAAGATGTGCTCTTAGGCACATTAAAAAACAACTTTTCAGGTGTTTTTGTGGCCGTATTTTTACATTAAGGCACAGCACAATATTTAATAGATGGTGTCATGTTCTACTATAATGTTTCTTGTTAAAAATAGATAGATAGATCCGCATGCGACGGGCACATTCGAGTAAATGTTTTGATTTTCTAAGTGCGCGTCGGGTCGCTCGCACGAAGATGGAACTTGTGACGTCATCAACGATGTCGCGCTCGGCCCGCGGCTTAGATCGAAAATGTTAACTTTACGCCTTTATATCTCGGTCAGTTTTGAAGATTTAAAAACACAGTTATTCTCATAATTTTTTGTAGAATTTTTTGGCATATAAAACAAAAAATGGTTTTCTTCTCCATTGCCGGAACCTATCGCAGGAACCACAAATAAGTTTTTTAGCTCTATTTTGCCGGTTCAGGAGAATTCTACACCAGTTACTTATGCACAGGCCGTGTTATCGAGCCCCATTAACAAGAACAAACTGGACACTCGGGGAGAAAAATCTGTTCGAAATTACACAACTAAGAAGATTAAGAAGAGAATTCAAGAACCTAATTTAGAAGAGTATATACATGATGGCAATATGTCGACAGAGTCTGAAAGTAGTGTATGTGATCAACCAGTGTCTGAACAAAACAAAAAAAAGAATCGTAATGTACAATCTGATATTCCTTTCTTTAATTTATTAAGCCAACTTAAAAGTTTTATCTCTAATTAGAGTAATGAGCCTTTAAAAAGTAGAATCGAGAATGTAGTGCACTTATTTTTTGAATGGATAATCACATGGATATTTAATAATATCTCGAACTTGTCTTTTTTACAAAATTTACTCGGTAATAATAGTAAAGTCAGCCTTAACATTTTGCAATGGAATGCTCAAAGTATTAAATCAAAGTGTGCGGAATTTGAACAACTCTTGTGTCAGGAGAAAATTCATATCGCCGCGCTCTCGGAAACATGGTTAAATCCTGATATAACACCTAACTGTAGAGAATATAACGTATTTAGACTTGATAGGGCGGACTCTTATGGCGGAGTGGCTTTAATAGTACACAAATCTCTCTCGGCTCAGTTGCTTCAACTGCGAAGTGCCAACGCGGTTATTAAGGTGATATCCGTTAAAATTTCTAATTGTGAAATTGTTGAAAATATAATTTCTCTATATTGCTCGCCTAGTGCTCGAACTTCATGTAGTGATTGGGATTCAATATTTTCGTTTTCTGATAAAAAAGACTCTAATGGAGATTTTAATAGACATCACCTTAATTGGTCGAATAAAACCGATTCTAGGGGCACGCAAATTCTAGACTCATTAGAAGACCATAATTTTGTTTCTATAAACGATGGCAGGCCTACGCGATTAAAATTAGTTGGCGATATCTTACAACAGTCAGCTCCCTACATTACATTTATATCATCTGATATCGCTTTTAAGTTTAATTGGAATGTTACAAACGAGTGTTTAGGTAGTGACCACCTAATAATTAAGATTTCGTCATCTATGAATCATTCTCCTATTATTCATAAAAGACGAAACTTTAAAAAAGCTGACTGGGTGAAGTATTGTCAGGTAATAGAAGAAGAGTGCGCTCATTTCGAAATTTCAAGTAACCCACAAGAAGCCTATGATGATTTTATCACTTTGTTGTTCAAAGCCGCAGAAGCAAGTATTCCATTTATTAAAATATGCCTAAATCCCAAGGCTAATTTTATTCCTAAGCCATATTGGACTCCTGATCTGTCTCACGCTGTTGCAGAGAGACGGCTAGCACTTAAAACATTTAGACAGAATCCCACACCGGCTAATTTAAATAGATTGCAGGAAAAAACTCGCAAGGCTCAAAAACTAATTAGAAACGCTAAAAGTAAAGAATGGTGGGAATTTTGTACGTCCTTGAATGAAATATCTTCAGCTTCTGAAATGTGGAGAAAAATGCAGTGGTTAAAAGGTTATACATCAGCTAAACCACAAATTGAAAAAAATATTGCTGAGTCATTATTGTGCAACTTAACCTCTGACTATGTAAGTCAACCCTACCCAGGTTACACATCTCAAAATCCTAAATTAGAAACCGAAATATCTAGATCGGAGCTTTATAAATGTTTAAAATCTAAAGACACGTGCCCGGGCGCAGATGATATCTCTTATTCAATGTTACTTAATTTACCTATAGTGGGCCAAAACGTTTTACTCAATCTTTATAATGTATTTTTTACACAAAGCTTTGCTCCATATCAATGGTGACATGTTCGCATTATACCTATACCTAAGTCGGGTAGGAACACTAATTGTACTTCATCTCTTAGACCTATTTCTCTTATTTCGTGCTTATGTAAAGTATTTCATGCCATTATCAATAACCGTATAGAGTGGTATATTGAAAACAAAAAACTACTTTCTGAGGAAACTAAAGGATTCAGAAAACCACGTTTCTGTCACGATAAATTATCATTAATTACCGCTTTAGTTACAAGCATTCAAATAGGTTTTACAAAAAATCTTTTTACAGTAGTATGCTGTTTAGACCTAGAAAACGCATATAATAATGTGGACATAAATTATCTTTTATCGACCCCCGATCGTCTTAATGTTGGCGCAAAATTTTGCAACTATCTCTGGACTTATTTAAGCCAAAGATTTTTAATAATTGAAGGGATAGATTATAAAATAACTAGAAGTACAGGTCGCGGTCTAGCACAAGGAGATCCACTTTCTCCGCTATTGTTTAACATAGCTACAATAGATATATGTAAGTCTATAATTTCCAAAACACATTTTAATATCTCCCAGTATGCTGATGATTATGTCATATTTATAACTTCTAAAAACTTGAAAGAGGCGGAAAACCAACTCCAATAGGCATTAGACATTTTAAATGATTTATTTTTAACTATAAATTTGGATATATCACCGTTAAAAAGTAAAATATGCACCTTTTCTAGAGGGCGTCGACAACATAACATTAGTCTAATGCCCCATTTACATTCAGCCCTGTTGGGCAGGGAAGTGAGCAGGGCAGTATGTATACAGGCTACTCGCGCTGACACTGCCGCTGCCGCTGCCACTGCCCGACGATCTCTCAAATGTCGATTTTTCGTGCGGAAGTCAAAGGACGGGCAGCGCGAGCGGCAGTGAGTGTTCACATTCAGCTCCATCGCTCACTTCGCGCCAAGCGCCTGGATGGACGGACGTGCGTGCCGTCTTGTTATTAAATAAGTACGATCTACCAAAATGCCTTTCGAGTGGAATAATGAAAATACAATAAAGTTTTTAGAACTGTTGGTATCAGAAAAAACTATGGGATTTCAACGATAAAAACCACAATTCATCATCTACGAATACAAATTTTCTTTTTGAGATAACATAGTACCTATGTACATAATTAATTATAAATTCGTCAAATTTATTATTTTAATATAAAATTTAGTTTAAGGAATTAATGAACATTGACATTTTATTTCTAAAAACGATTAATAACTCATATTGATTATTTATTGTAAAATAAGTTAAATGGTAATATATTTGCATAATAGCCTGAGATTTTTAAATTATAATTTTATTGTAATTAAAATTATGACTTAATTTATACTGTAGCGTAATTAATAAAATAATAATAGCTTAACTAATTTCATATAATATTTAATATTATTTATGTAACAATAATGTAATAATTTATGAACAATTTATTGTGTAAGAATTCAAATAGAGTGGATCTGTATAAGTATTTAATTAATACATAATATTTTAAGTAAGCAAATAAATTCTGTCTATCAAATAAATTCTATCTATCTATCTATCTTCTTCTGAACCTGATATCTTTTTAAATTATTAACATAATTTTGTATTGCAAGAAGACACAGCGAGGACGCTGTAATTATTTCGATTTCGACGTCTGCCATAGTCGAAAGCCGAAAGCGATGTGAGTGGCAGGGCAGAGTGTGAGGCAGTATTTAGCGAAGTATTGCCGGCAGCGCGAGGAGCAGTGGCAGGGGCTGAATGTAAATGAGGCATAAAAATTAAAGATGTTGCTTTGGAAGTAGTAGATAGCGTAAAATACCTTGGAATGTGGCTGGATCGATCACTGCGATGGAATAAACATATAAAGGAAACAATATATTATATATATATATATATATATATCCCTGGATGAATAAAGGGGTACAAGTGGCAATGGCACAACGAGATCGGGCTTTCCAGAAGTTTAAAAAGAATCGCTCAGAAAAAAATTGGTCTAACTGGTAAAACGCTAAGAAACAGATGCAATCAGGTGGTACGAAATGCTAAACGCCGCTACATTCATGACAAAATAACTAATTCTTCGCCCACTGATTTGTGGAAATTTCTGAAGTCTATCGGAATTAATAAAGCTAATTCTCCGGAATATGGCGCCTTTGTTTCTATTACTTCTTTGGACCCTCAAGTCCGTTCTCAAACTATTGCTTCTATAGAATCAATGCAGCCTCTCCGGATCCCTGACTTTTGTTTCTCCCCTGTTACTCAGGATGAAATTAAAAAAGCTCTGTTAGCCATTAAATCCAAGGCTGTGGGTTTTGATGAAATTAGTAAGCAAATGGTGTCTATGATTCTTGAGTACCTTATTCCAGCTATAACATTATAAATTATTCTCTGGACTTAGGTCAATACCCTTCTGCATGGAAAAAGGCTTTTGTAAGACCTCTTCCTAAAATACCTAATCCTGTTTTCCCTAACCATTTTCGTCCTATTTCAATTCTCCCATACCTCTCTAAAGTTCTGGAAGCCTTGTTTTTAAGCAAATATCTGTATTCGCTGCAAAACATAACCTGCTGAATGAATTTCAATCGGGGGTTTCGCTCAGGTCACAGTACTACCACTTCGCTTATCAAAGTCACAGACGATATAAGAAAAGGGCTTAAATGAGCAAAAATTAACAGTGGTGGTGCTTATTGACTTTTCAAACGCTTTCAACACAGTGGATCATGGTATCCTCCTATCCATCCTTAAACACCTTAAATTTTCATCCCCAGCCTTGGAATGGTTTTCTTCTTATATTCGCGGTCGTCAGCAATCGGTTCGCTCAGGTCAGCGGTTTTCTGCATGGGCTGAAATTGAATCTGGTGTGCCGCAAGGCGGAATACTTTCTCCTATTATGTTTTCCTTATTTATAAATTCTATCTCCTCAGTTTTAGATTGTTCGTACCATCTGTATGCGGATGATCTCCAGCTTTATGTACAGTCAAGCTTAAATAATCTTAACTTTGTAATACACAAACTAAATGATAACCTGGAAGCCATAAGAGAATGGTCATGTAAATATGGCGTTTCTGTTAATCCTGCCAAATGCAAAGTTATAATATTCGGAAGTTCGTAATTATTGGCTAAGGTTGATTATGGAAATCTCTCTCCTGTAATTTATAATGGAAGTTTGATTCCATACTGTGATTCCATAAAAAATCTTGGCCTGTACATGGATAAAACTGTGACCTGGAAATTGCAGATCTCTGAAGTTAGTCGTAAAGTTGTTGCTACCTTGCGTTCCCTTTATCGTCTTAAAAATTTCCTACCTTTCAAAACCAAACTTACGCTGGTTCATTCCCTTATTCTAGCTATTATCGACTATGCCGATGTATGTTACCCAGATCTATCAGAAAATCTTCTAAACAAGTTGGAGCGCCTTCTTAATAATTCCATAAGATTTATTTTTGGTTTACGTAAGTATGACCACATATCATCCTATCGTTCAAAGCTTAAATGGTTACCTATACGTCAAAGGCGATGCTCTAGAATTTTACTTGTACTTTATTCAATTTTAAACGATCCAAGGTCGCCTTCTTATCTTAAGGATAATTTTCATTTTTTTCATCCGATCGACGGTCGAACATCCCGACAGTCAAACCGTCTGAGGTTAAGGTTTCCACAGCATAAGTCAAATTTTTTTAAGTCGTCTTTTACGATACAAGCCATACAACTTTGGAACACCCTCCCCAACGATATTAAGAATGCCATAAATAAAAAAGTCTTCAAAGTTCTTCTCCGAGAACATTACCTGAAGGAAACTACTAATTAACATTATTTTCCTTAATTTTTGTCTTTCTTTTCTTCTTTTACTTCAGATATTTATTTCATTATATATTATTCAAACATCATATTATATATATCATTCATTTGTATATTTATTTACGAAGTTTATAAGCATGTATATATATATATATATATATATATATATATATATATATATATTATTAATGTATGTATATATTTTAATGTAATTATTTACGTATAATGGTCGCACCTGCCAACAATTGTCCTTGGCACCCAGGGTTGACTGGCAGAGAATGCCACATGGCATTAAGTCCGCCCTATGTACCCCTTTAGCTTAAGGTGTTACGTTTAAGTTTTTAAATAAATAAATAAATAAAGGAAACAACTGAATAAGTATTAAAATTTTTAAATGTATTTAAAGTTTTGTCAGGTTCGGGCTGGGGTGTCCACCCTAAACATTTACGGAACCTCTATATTAGTATTATAAGAAGTCGGTTACATTATGCGAGCTTTTTGTATGATAACAGTAGTAAGACTAATTTATTTAAGTTAGAAAAGATTCAAAATCAGTCAATGAGAACTATAGGAGGTTATATAAAAAGCACCCCTATTCACGTAATGGAAAGCGATCTCAGCTTATGCCCATTACATTTAAGAAGACGCTATCTTGCAGGCAAATTCTGGTTAAAAAATAAATCCGTGTTAAATAACTCTTCCATTAATCTTATCTCTAACCTATCCGATACCATTCAAAACAGGTATTGGAATAATAAGAAAAAAACCATTGTTAACAATAATCCATGACAACTTCAAATCACTTTTTATATACTCAAGCACACAGTTAGGTATGTTTTCTCTGGATCAGTGGATCACTTGTTTAAACCTTTCAGATATTTTAAGACCAAATATAGACGGAGTTCTAAACCCTAAACATCAGTACCATGTATTGACCATAAAAATCATGTGTATTAATTACCTAAACGAACATTACCCGAATTATCTGAGGATATTTACAGATGGTTCGAAAGATACTTTCGGAAACGGGGCTTCATTTTACGATATATTAAATGATATGGCAATAAAGTTAAAAATTAATACTAATATTTTTATTATGGAAGTAGAACTTGTAGCAATCTATGAAGCTTTATCCTATATACAATCATGCAACTATAACAATGTGGTTATTTTAACAGATTCAAGGAGTGCGCTTCAACACCTTGCTCGGTGTACTTCGGTTTTTCGAGGCTTATCAGTAGCATATGCGATTTTGAAGCTTCTAGTTAAGTTGCAGGCTGACTCCATAATAGTACATTTACAATGGATACCTTCGCACATTGGCTTAGAGGGTAATGAAAAAGCTGATATTTTGGCCAAACAAGCTATTTCGGAAGGCACTGATATTAATATTACCCCTTCATTTCAAAATTATATACCGTTATTAAAAAAAAATTGTTATGACCTTTGGAAGGAATATTTTGATATAAGAGCAAAAGAGAAGGGTATATGGTACCGTACGATCCAGCCATATCCAGTGCGCTCAACCTGGGTAGATAACCGAATATTGTGTAGACGCGACACTGTATTAGCATTAAGACTCAGATCTGGGCACATTCCATGCAATAAATATTCATACTTGATGCGAAAAACTATCTCACCAAACTGTTCAACTTGCAACATTATCGATGATGTTTACACATATTGATAGAATGTGTCCAGAACTCTGGAGAAAGAAAAAATTGTAATATACATTTATCATTGATTGACAGTATTAATATTATTTTATCAGACTCGTTATCAGAAGATGCCAAAAAACTTTATGTGTTAGTAAATAAGAGATTAAGTAATTAATAAGTTTATATAGTTGTTAATATTTATCCTATTTAAGAATTTTCTTGTGCCAGGGCGTCATAATCGCTTCAGCGACAAAGCCCTTTTTCTAAGAATAAAAAAAAATTTGATCTGGTCGCGCGCGATGAATAGCGTGCTACTACGACCTAATTTAGTGTTAGACGTTATTTAGTTAGTGTATACTGTATATTTATAAGTGATCGAAGGACACGGTTGTCTGCTATAAAAGAAGTCTAACTAATGTTTTTAAATTTAAATAAAATATAGATACAAGTATATATAATACAATCAAAAAACTTTTAAATACACCTTTATTTGATTTACATTAAGGTTAAAATAACGTTTACATCAGTTATAATAAAAGATTATTAATATTATTTCCTTTTAAAAAGTACATATCTTAAAAATATTTTTAGGATTATAGAAAGTCGTAAGCCTGAATAGTATGAAAAAGCGTTCATTGGTTTTTCTTCACCGCTTTATTTTATTTTAGTCTAAAATGCGACTTATTACGGAATTATGTTCTTATATAGCACGCGGTCTATCTATCCAATGAACGACATGTAATGTAACGTGCTACGAGATATAGCGTGCTGCAAAACTTTCTTATAAATAGCTCGCTATAACATAGCGTATTTAATAGCACGTTAGAAATTTATAGTTTTTAGTCTGTAGCGTGCTATGGATTTATAGTTGTTTTGGACAACTTTAATTTCATGGGCCGTGTTCGTGTTTGCATATCGTTATCGTTCCAGTTTGCGTTTTACGTTTCAAAACTTTCGTACGTTTTGGTTGGATATGTGATAACGGTTATGTACTTAGGCGTATCGATATGATATGATATTTTGATAACGTAACGTTATTAGTTACGTTTTGATATATCGGTCTCATGCCTAACTAACACTGACTTCTGACAATCTGACATTATTATTCAGGATCTTAGGATTCAGGTTGAGGTTATGTGAATAACATGGATTTGTTTATAATTAACAGGTACTTATTACACCACATTATTCTTCACCCCACTAACAAGCAGTGGAGCAGCACGGCATGCTTATCACTCCATAACCCTCTCAGATCTGAGAAGAGACCTGTACTCAGCAGAGGGATGTTTAGTTTGTAACTTCACATTTAAACCTTTAGGACTGTTTAGTAATTCTCTGATTGATATTTACCGGACATCGAATTTGAGGTTGAAAAACAGGCAAAACCGTTGGGTTTCCAAAACTCATTGTAGTTATATTTTTTATGTTTTGGAGGTTAAGAGCCTCAAAATACTTCAACCTTTTTTTACTCGCTACTAGAGGGTTGACCATCACTACTGTGAAGTTTTCCTTTAAATATAGAGTGGCAAATCAGCAACTGTGGGAAGGAATCTACAGAACCTAAAATCGATTTTCATGGGGAGGTCTTGGTGTAAACCACCCTGTGAAAGGTGTTTGTCGACTTGATAACTTTTAAGAAAAAAATTAAAACTTTATAATATTCACACAAGTAAGCATTTCTTAGTTTTCTCCTGTTTGTAATGCCTAGTAGAAAAAGCGTTAGAATGTGGAGGAGCCCCTGTAATGGGATTAATTAAAATAGACAACCTCTAAAATCCACTGCTGAACGTAGGCTTTCCCCATAGATTGTCAAAGAGGGGATTATGCCATAGTTGCCACGCTAGGCATGTGGGTAGGCAACTGCAGTTTTTTTTAAGCTGTTATCAGAAACATGCTACTGCCCATCTCTTGGTTCAGTTTCCCAATTTTGCTACACGATAAAAACATAATGACATAAAATATTTGTAGATACATGTTTAGATAGTAAAAGGACTTAAAAAATATTACAATGCTATTATTAATAATTTTAATAATTAATATTTCGACTAATATACATAAAATCTAGCCCTCATAAAATTTTAACCTTCAAACCTATCATAGCCCAACTATCTTACATGATAGTTACACCGGACCCCTAAGATAAAATACAATACTTCAGAATAAATATTGTGCATTGGCTCTTAGCCACAACAACATATAATATAGATCTGCTCAACTTAAAATTTGCAACAACTTAATCGATAAATAAAAATAAATTTGAATTATAGTTTGAAACTTAAAATATTAATTTGAAAAACAAAACTGCCAAGTATGACACAGCTATGTATGATTTCACCAAACTTTGGTGCACATCCGCTCGTTGTTCAATCCTAGTCTTATTAATTGACTCATTTGCTGCACGGTGGGAGCGGTTGCAGCTTGCAGTTGCAAGTAACTAATTGCTGATCTTAGAAATGACATTGGCTTTTATTTATTTGTGATAAAATTGAAATTACGAGTTAGTATATTTGAGAGCTAATATATTTTTTCGTAATGTACTTGCATTAACACAGGTATGTAGGAGAGAATGTTGATGACGATTTAATTGATAGAGAAACAAAACATTTACAAAAATTAAAACAAAGAATTGAAGAGAGAAAGAAGACACATAGAAATGAAAAGGCTTTAGACACAATTACACTTAAACATGAAGACACAGAAAAGAATTTTGATAGTTACAAGCCACTTGAAACTGAAAACCTAAAAGATTCTGCAGATAATAATTACAAAGAAATAACGGATGAAGATAAGGGAATTAAAAGAAAAAAAACTACTAATGATAGAGTTGAATTCAAAGTTTTAGGGATAAATGATTTTGAAAAGAAATCTAAGGTAATAATGAAATGAAAAATGGTATGATTTTATAAAAACTTATATTGATTATGTATAGGTATATGTGTCTGAATCAGCGCGTGTATGTATGCGAACATGTAAAAATACAGGGCTGGATGCAACGATGCAACAAGCAATTTTGCATACATGTATCCATTATCAAAGTGGACCCGGCCACAAAGTAAATTTTTCAATACTCTTTACTTGATCTGAAGAATAATCCGGTAAAATTTTCTGGTTATCTTCTCATGTCTTATGAAATTTTGAAGAATTGTGTACCATCTCTTCTCTTCAACGCTGCGTTGGAAGACGTTTTCAAGCTACTGGACTGGAAAGGATACGGTATTAACATCAATGGCGAGTACATCACTCACCTTCGATTTGCCGACGATATAGTCCTTATGGCAGAATCGCTGGAGGACCTTAGCAGTATGCTCAATGACCTCAATGGTGTCTCCCAACGGATAGGTCTTAAGATGAACATGGACAAAACAAAGATCATGTTTAATGTCCATGTCACACCTATGCCGGTAGTTGTTGGGAGCACTATGCTCGAAGTTGTTGACGAGTACGTTTACCTGGGACAAATAGTCCGACTAGGTAAGTCCAACTTCGACCGAGAGGTCAATCGACGGATTCAACTCGGCTGGGCAGCGTTCGGGAAATTACGACACATCTTCTCGTCAGGTATACCTCAATCTCTGAAAACTAAAGTGTATAACCAGTGCGTGTTGCCAGTGATGACTTCGGATCTGAGACGTGGTTCCTTCACCGCTGGCCGTATGAGGACGCTCAAGGTCACTCAGCGAGCTATGGAGAGGGCTATGCTCGGAGTTTCACTGCGTGATAGACTCAGAAATGAGGATATCCGCAGTAAAACCAGAGTGACCGACATAGCCCAACGGATTAGTAAGCTGAAGTGGCAATGGGCCGGCCATATAGCTCGAAGAACCGATAACCGATGGGGAAGAAAGGTTCTCGAGTGGCAGCCTCGTACCAGTAGGCGTAGTGTAGGGCGACCCCCCACTAGATGGAGTGACGACCTGGTAAGACATGCAGGAAGTCGATGGATGCAGGTGGCTCAGGACCGTGCTTTGTGGCATTACTTGGGGGAGGCCTATGTTCAGCAGTGGACTTGTGAAGGGCTGTAATGATGATGATGATGATGAATGGATCTAGTTGGGGGAATAGTTTTCATGGTACACTTTGGTCATGAGAGCTTATAGTAGAATAAAGTATATCCATCAAATTAGCAGAGGAACTAAGCTCACTAGTGGAATGATTTAGGACTAATAACAATGCCAATATTGGCATATTGTTAATTTACAAAATGTGTTAACACTTAATTTGTTTAAACTTTAGTTAATTAATCACAGGTACAAAGAGTTTTACCACATTGGTTATCTCATCCATACAGTGTTTCAAAAAATTTACAAAATTTAACTTGCAAAGTGGAAACTCAACATTGGTTACACAGCGTCTTAAAAAATACATTACTCAGTGAAGGTGTAACTCACTTCTTTCCTGTACAAGAACAAGTAATACCTTTTATATTGAATGAACACAAATTACCCTATCCACTATGGCCACATGATATTTGTGTTTCTGCACCTACAGGCAGTGGAAAGACTTTGACATTTGTTCTCCCAATTATTCAGGTAATATTAAAAAAAAACTGAAATATATACATAAAATTTCACTTCTATGTTGATTTCTCAAGAGTAATTATTTAATATTTTACAGATATTAATGAGTGAAATTGGACATTACATAAGGGCTTTAATTGTTCTACCAGTGCAAGAGCTAGCAACCCAGGTTGCCAAAGTTTGTAAAAAATATTGTACAAATACAGGCTTAAGAGTGGCCTTGTTGAGTGGCTCCACACCATTGCATCTGGAGCAACAACACCTTATGAAATATAGTAAGTAGGTTTCCTAGCAAAATAATGTTTAACATACCTTACATTCTTTAATGTTGTAACTACATTAAATTTATGCAATAATATTTAGGCCTACAATGCAATGATAACAGATAGAAGAATGTATCATACTCTGACTACTTAGCTAAAAAGTTCAATTAAAAAAATATGTTTAGCTTTAGCTTAGTGAAATGGTGAGTTGGTTACTACTTCAGTTCTACTATGTAAGTTGTTATGGTTATGGATTCTTTCGTTCAAATAAGATAATGAATTTTCTCCTTACTTACAAGAAGTGACTTTGTAATCCTTCAAGCAGCATGCAATGAAGTGCCATTTCTTTTATAGCCGTCACTAGCAACACGCACTACCCCTATTGAATATAAAAATTACTAAAGGTATTAATGTGTCTTGTTAAAGTGTTAAATCTATTATATTTTCAGCTGAATCATCAGGATGGATTAGTGAAGTAGACATCATAGTGTGCACAGCTGGAAGATTGGTAGAGCACTTACAAAATACTGACGGGTTTTCATTAAGACATTTAAAGTTTCTAGTTATAGATGAAGCTGATAGAATCATGGACAATATTCAAAATGATTGGCTTTATCACATGGACAGGCATATACGGCTAGAACATAATTTAGTGACAAGTAAAGTTCCCCCTCTAAATTGGAACTGTATAAGTGATCAAAAATCATTACCTCATAAATTACTTTTTTCTGCTACTCTTTCTCCTGATCCTGAGTTGTTAGAACAATGGGGATTATATCAACCAAAACTGTTTTCTGCTGCTCCAATTTCTGATTTTGAAGGTGAACACCTTATTAAAAAGTATACAACACCTGATGAACTAATTGAGCAATTTGTGACTTGCAGTGCTGAAGAAAAACCTCTTATATTATTCCATTTATTAGTAGAGAAGAAATGGGACAAGGTTCTATGTTTTACAAATTCAGCACAATCAGCACACAGATTAACAGTTTTACTCAATGAATGGGGTAAAGAGAAACTTAAAGTTGTAGAATTATCATCAGCCTTAGACAGAACAAGTAGAGAGAGTGTATTTAAAAAATTTACGCAGTCAGAGGTTAATGTGTAAGTAAATTTGTTTACATTTTAGATCTGACTACATATGTATTCTATTGGATTAAATATTAATAAAAATAATAATATTCTTAGGATAATCAGCACTGATGCTTTAGCTAGAGGAATTGATATACCAGAGTGTAGTTATGTTATATCATATGATCCTCCTAGAAATATAAAGACCTATGTTCATAGAGTTGGAAGAACTGGTCGCGCAGGAAGAGTAGGCACTGCTGTGACTATATTACTTCATAATCAATTCAATATGTTCAAGGTAAGTGGGTTTAATATATTTAATGATGTTTAGATATTTTTATTGAGAAAAGACACCCATTCATCATTATCATTATTATAGCCCTTCACAAGTCTACTGCTGAACATAGACCTCTCCCAAAAATGCCACAAAGCACGGTCCTGAGCCACCTGAATTCATCAACTTCCAGTAGGTATTACCAAGTTATCACTGCATCTAGTATGGGGTCGCCCTACAATTTACCTACTATCGTACCAAGGCTACTCGAGAACCTTTTTTCCCCAACTGATGTTAGTTCTTTCTATATGGCCGGGTCATTGCCACATTAAATTACTTATCCATTGGGCTATGTCAGTCACTCTGGTTCTACTGCAGATAACCTAATTTCTAAGTTTATCACACAGGGAAACCCTAAGAATAGCCCTTGCCATGAGCGGCTTTGAGCTTCGTCATACGGCCAGCAGCAGCAGTAAAGGACGATGTTTTAGATCCATAAGTTGTCACTAGCAACACTAGTTGTACAATGGTGAGGTATACCTGACGAGGAGATGTGTCTTAATTTCCCAAACCCGGTCCCAAGACCCAAATTCGGTCGAAGTTGGATTTACCTAGTCGGACAATTTGTCCCAGGTAAACATACTCGTCAACAATTTCCATTAACTACCGGCATAGGTGTGACATGGATGTTACACATGATCTTTGTTTTGTCCATGTTCATCTAAAGACCTATCTATTAGGAGGCACTGTTGAGGTCATTGAGCATAGTGCTTAGGACCTCCAGCGATTCTGTCATAAGGACTATATCGTCGGCAAATCGAATGTAAGTGATGTACTCCATTGATGATAACACCATATCCTTTCCAGTCCAGTAGCTTGAACACGTCTTCCAAACAGCGGTGAGAAGTTTCGGGGATATAATGTTACCCTGTCTTACAGTTCTCTCAACTCTGCAGTTGGATAGTTTTCGTAGTCTGGTTCTGTACTCGGATAGCCATCGTATACCAACAGTCAATTTGGCACCGCTGAAGCGACTGCAGCACCGCCTAAATTTCGACGGTATCAAACGCTTTCTCATAGTTCACATACCCAAAACATAGTGGCAGATTTTACTCCGCGGTCTTCTGTTTAATTTGCCGATGAGTATGTATGTGGTCTATGGCGCTAAAGCCTTTATGGAAACCAGCTTATTCGGGAGGTTAGATGTAGTCGAGTCTGCGTGCGAGACGATTCGTAATGACTAACGAAAACAGCACGTAGACGCGGCTCAGAAAAGAAATCGGTCTGTAGTTCAGAGAGCGTTGTCGCATTTCTTGAAAAACAAGACCAGCCCATTTCTGCCCCACGTCCCCGGAGTAGTGTAACCATGGAGGACAGAATCAAAGAGTTTCTGAAAGACTTCAAGTACCAGTTCTCCACCAGCTTTCAAAAGCTCCGCTGTAATTCCATCCTCGTACGGGGACTTGTCATTTTTAAGGTGCTGAAGAGCCATTCAAATCTCGCTCAGACTGACGTTCGGAATATCATCGTAGTAGTGTCGGATAAGATTTGCTCTTGGATCGTTACACACACTTGCGTGTGGCTCCAACGATGATGTGTACAGCTGCCCATAGAACCTCTCAATCTCACTCAAAATCTCTGGTGTCCTGGAAACAATGCTGCCACATTCGGTTTTCAGCTTCGACAGTTGGCTTTTTCTGGCAGACACATCTTTGGCAAAGACTTTGGAGCCCTGGTTCCACACGATCACTTCTTCGAAACGAGTTGTTATTAAAGTTGCGTAAGTCCCGCTGCATGCATTTGGGGATCTGTCTGTACAGTGGCATGTATGCTGTCAAATTTGCTGAAGCTTCTTTTCCCGTCTAACAGCCATAAGATTATAGGGCGAGTCTTGCAGACTCCGACCGCCTGGAGTTTCCACGAGCTTGTCATTCATATCGTCTACTGTCTTCTAGACACTGAAAACGATTTTGTAGCTTGAGCTGATAGTTTTCGGGACTTTGGATTAGAGTACGAGGGAATGGAGCATCGACTTAATTAGACGTGCCTTCTCCAACTTAATGTTGAGGTTCAGTGTGCCTCTCACCATTCGATGATCGCTGCCACATTTCACCCTCGCGATCACTCAGACATCACTGAATAGTTGCTGTGTGGTTGTCATCATTATGAACTGATTATGAAGTTAATCTCATTTTTTGTTGAACCGCCGGTGCTCGACCACTTTCAGTGGGGCTGCTTTTTGAAGAAAGAGTTCACCATAAAGAGTCCCTCTCCATGATTTCGGTAAGCTGTTCGCCCTTTGGGTTCCGTTGCTCTGTTCCAAATTTCCCTACCTACAACTCACCGTCTTCTTTCGTGCCTAGTTTTGCGTTGAAGTCTCCCATTAACACCGTATAGTGGGTTTTGAAAGAATGCATGGCTCTAAAGATATCCTCATTAATTTCCTTATCGGGATGTGCCGACGTTGGGTTGAGGCGTAAACCTGAATGACCTTCAGCGAATACCGTTTGGTGATTCTGAGTATAAGGTACGCAACCTTCGTCGACATACTCCCAATCTTTACAACATTATTAACGAGAGACTTGTGAATGATAAATGCAACACCTCCTTGGGACAGATGGTCGCTTACCCGGTGATTTTTTTAATAGGATAGGGTGACAAATGAGCGCACAGTCCACCTGATGGTAAGTGGTTGCTGTGGCCCATAGACATCTACATCTATCCTCGATTACGAATCAAAACAATGCGTTGTCACCCCTGAGGACTAAGATGGAATGCCTCGTTTCCAGTAAAAAGGGTCTCCGGTTCTCTACACTCACCATACGAAATACAGCAGCATTAAGCTACCATTTCACGCTGGTATTCCATGAGAGCGTGCCCCCTCCGGTCGAGCCGACACATTCGTGCTACAATTATACTTCTAATATAACAGCAGCATGGCTCTACCACGTATAAAACAAGTTGCCGGATTCGAGAATCACCGTGTCCTCCCCCTCTCTTCGGACCTCGGATAATCCTATAATATTCCGGCGCAACTTTCTATCTCTTCTTCCAACTCCAGGATCTTCTCGTCAGTCCTCAAGGTGCGTGCGTTATATGTTGCTAGGTCGAGTCGAGACAGCCATTCTAAGAGAATTAAGAGTGCTGAGCCTCTAAAATAAAAATAAATCACCTGAATGGTTTACAGTTTTCATCAGAGCAAGGTGCGGTAGTAGTGTTCGAATAGGCCGTAAAAGAAATATCTGATGTAGATTGGAAATAATGTTACAAAAATTGATTTAAACGTATTTAATTCATGTGCTGATGGATAGTTCGTTGAACATTTAATAATAAAACCTTTAAACAATAAAACTTTTTTTAAGTGCCTCAAAACTTTGAGTGGGAGGAGGAGACGATTCGACTATATTATAAAAAAATATATATATATATATATATATATATATATATATATATATATATATATATACCCCAGAATTTTTTTCTAGGTGAACTGATTTTGATGATTCCTTTTTATTTTAAAACTGGTGCTTCTCATGTGATCCCATATAAATCTCATCAAGATCTGATCAATAGTTTTTAAATTATCCTTAATAATGCGTATTTAATTGACTTCGACTACATTGATGATGTTGTTATTTTATTTATATTGAATTCTGTGATAATTTTTTTTTTAATTTTACCACTTGTTATTTCTCAATTTAAATTGTTGTATTTCAGGAACTACTGCAGTCTGGAGAAAAGTCAGAAATACCACAAATGGAAATTCCAGAGGAAGCATACAGTCATTTATTACAAGGTTATGAACAAGCAATTCTAGAAATGAAAAAAATAATTCATTCAGAAATTAATAACAAAGTAAGAAAGTCAATTGAGCTTAAAAGAGGTACAAAGAAAAGAGCAAAGAAAAGAAAATATGGTGACAAAAGTAATAATAAGAGTGGTACAACACAATAATGATCTTATTTCTTATCTTATATAGGCTTTTTCGCAATGAGCAACAGCTCTTGAGAAGCGTTTCTGAAAGAAGCAATGAAATTTTAAATAAATAAATTTCGTTAATATTATATAAATGGTATTTTTATTACGTGGTGTACCAAACAAAACTTCTTGGTTTTTTCGTAAATGTTAACCAAAGTGAATAACTGCAAAATTTATATATTTGATTACTTACTTATTTTATACCCATTGGATTATTTACTAACATACATAGGTGAAAATGAAAAGTGTGCAACGTTCTTCATCTCACGCCCTGCAGCAGTAATTATTGTGTGAATATAATTTATCTTTTTACGTAAATAATTTCGAGTAATATATTGTGATTTTCACGCTGCCGACATTCGCTTGGTATGTTTTTTTTTTGTTATCAAAATACAATAAAATCTTTTTGTAATGAAGTAAAACCTGACTTTTGTTTAGACTACAAGATAGAGAATTTTGTATAGATTTTATAATGCTAAACTTCTTCATAGAAAAGTCGTCTCTAAATATAAGTTTTAATGGTTTTAAGGACGCGTTTACAAAATTGATAGGTATAGAATCGCACTACTACATTGACAAAAGTCACACACACACAAGTGTACGCACGGTTGGCTGTGGGAATCGTAGTCAAATGAAATTATTTTGATAATTTGAAAGATTGAATTTTTTTTTCATTTCTTATACCTCAGAAATATACTTAGATACGAAATACGAATACCTGCTCCAGAGACTGCTTGGCACTGGAAGCCCTCTACTGGTAGTGAGATGTTAGCTCTGGACTTTGAACTGAGTTTGTCAGTTATTAAGACCTTACCTACCTGCGGACTTGATGGAGTGACCTGAAGGTGTAATTCGATGATTACAACAGGAACTCCTAGACTACTGGAACTAGGTGTGCCGAGTTTGGGTTCGTTTTGTTGGTTATGATGAGACCTTACCACCGGACTTGATGGAGTGACCTGAAGGTGTAATTCGGTGATTACAAGTGGAACTCCTAGACTAGTACAACTAGGTGTGCCGAGTTTGGGTTCGTTTTGTTAGTTACAATGAGACCTTACCACCGGTCTTGATGGAGTGACCTGAAGGTGTAATTCAGTGATTACAACTGGAACTCCTAGACTAGTGGAACTAGATATTAGTATTTTAGCAAAGCGGCATATGGCGAAGCCCTTCAACCCAATGGACTTGCCTCGCATGATTATTCTGTGCGGGTATTGGATTTAAAAATCTTCTGCGTTTATAAAAACTGTTTACGGAATCGATTTTGTCATTACAAGAATCGCTTCTGTCGTAAGTGCTCTTTGAAACATGCCAATCTGTACGCTTAACGTGTAGGTACAAAAAGAAGTCTAATACGTTAAATTTACAAAATAGATGAAGCAAAATACATTCCATATGTAAATATTTTTATTGTGATATATGCTTTCTTTCTATTATAGATAATAATTTAAAATAATATCATAAATAATAATCGAGTACATAATATTTCATAAAAATCGAAGTGATAATCGAGATTGACAAGCGCACTTCCCACGAGATTAGTTATATATATATATATATATATATTTCATTTTTAAAGTCTACCAACTTAATATTTAACACTTAAGCGCAACTACACTCCTTACGAGACTAGTTTATATTTGCAACTGCGTAAGAAAAATATTAGAAATAAAACCACGTCTTGTATGGTGTGAAACTTGAGAAGAAGTGCCCCAAAGTGCCCTTTATTTTACTAGACATTTTACGTCAACAAAAAACAATTATACCTTTTTCGAATTCGTTTCATTTACAAACCATTATATTTTTTTTATTTACAAACAATACTTTTTTCTATTAACAAACATGCAGCCCCCTGGAGCAAAGGTAAGCTATTAGTTTTCCCAAAATTAATCAAAAAATAACAACAACCCTTTAGCACAATTAGTAGGAGTAATAAAAAAAAGTAAAAATAAAGAAACATTTTATACAAACTTTTTATAAAATAAAAAAGTAAAAATAAATATAAGTCACTTAGTAAATCAACCTAGCATTAAATAAAGTAGGTACTTGTTGATTAATGTTCTAAACCAAACTTATTTAAAGTCTCTATTCGTACATAAACGCGTACATTATCATAAAACTACTAAAGTGATAAAAATTAAAAAATAAATTGTATAAAACATGAACGACTTAAACAAAACAATACACACTGAGGTAAGTAGTTTGTACTTTCTTATACAAAATTACTATACATTTTAAAAGGGAAAGAAAAAAATCAACGTTTAAGTTATTCTACAGGCAAAGGTACATACAATTTTACTTAAAGGCCGCGAAAATATGCCATTTTTTGTTTTTACATCAATGGCTCTAATTTTGTTATCTTTACCTTTATAGACATTTAAAATTCTACCTAATGGCCAACTTAATGGGGGGGGGGGGGGTCATCATTTTTGAGTAAAACTACATCATTAATTTTTACATCGGGTTCAGTCGTATACCATTTGTAGCGTAACTGCAATGAATTTAAATACTCTAAGTGCCAACGTATCCAGAATAATTGTCTGAATTTACATATTTGGATGTACACAGTGAGCTTATTTTCAGGTATATCAATTACAGAGATTTCAGGAAAAGAAGTCAATGGTTCTTCTATGATAAAATGGCTGGGGGTTAAACATTGTAAGTCTGACGCATCATTACTGAGAGAACAAAGTAGCCTAGAATTAATAATAGCCTCTATCTGTGTTAACAAGGTGTTTAAGATGTTCGTATGTCAATTTCGTGGTACCCATTATGCGTTTCAAATGATGTTTTACCATTTTGATCCCAGCCTATACCTCCCCAATTTGGTGTTGTTGTGACTATGTATTACCACTTAATTTTTTCATTTTGCAAGAAAAGAATCTAATTCGGGATTTCACTTCAGCATCTTATAGAGACCGTGAAGCTCCTTCTCTGCGCCCATGGTGGTGGCATTGTCGCTGTGAAGCTCCAAACACTTACCTCGTTTCGATATAAAACGTTTTAGAGCGTTCAAAAACTCCTTGGATATTAGGTCGCTCACTAATTCGAGATGAGTAGCTATCGTGCTGAGGCAAATGGATAAACAGACATACCCTTGTATAGTATTGAAGAGACTCCAATAACATCCAGTCGTCATCGTTCTCAAGAGTTAGGCATCGCTCGAACCACTCTACGATGCATAATTCGTACGGATCTGAACATGTTTCCGTACAAAATGGCTTAAAAACTAAACCCAGCTGATTATCCGCGTCGGCTAAATTTTCGCATCGAAATGGTCGAAAATGAACGTGACTTTTGGCGAAAAAGACGACAACTGACGTGGCACATTTTTCGTTAAATGGAGGCGTTAATAAACAAAATTGTCGGTTTTATGCCACCGAAAACCCTCAAGTAATCGAAGAGCAGCCTCTTTACGACTAAAAAGATACTGTTTGGTGCGTTATTAGCGCGGATATGGTTGTCGGGCCGTATTTTTTTTTTTGAAGACGATGATGGAGCTACGGTAACCATCAATGGTGAGCGTTATCGGGCCATGATAACGGATTTTCCGATGCCAATTATTCGTGAAAATGACATGGATGATTACTGGTTCCAACAGGACGACGCCACATGCCACACAGCTCGAGTAACAATCAATTTATTGTGACCATTGTTCCCTGGGCGACTGATATCAAAAATGCCGATTTTGACTGGCCACCGAGATCACCCGATTCGACACCACCAGACTTTTTTTTGTAGGGTTATTTGAAATCCAAGGTATACGCTAACAAGCCAAGGATTCTAGCTGTCCTCAAGAACAATATTCGTCAAGAAATTGCCGCTATAACCGCCGAAACATTGGCCAACGTGCCGAAAAAAGGACACATTTGGTTGCTAAGGCCAGAGTTGGCCATTTGCGCGATATCATTTTAAAAAAGTAATTATAACAAATCTCCTTAGATCAAAATAAAATATTTTACAAATGAATAACAGAAAAATATTTTTTTAACACACAAATGCTTCCACTTTAAATGGCCCATATGATATTAGATATCTCGTTTGAAGACAGGGTTAAGTCGCCACATACGAGCCCACCAAAGGCAGTACTTATAAGACCGGGAAGACCCTTACCTAACTCCTTAACTGACTGCCGCAAGCACAAACGAAATTCATTGGCCCCTAAAATCATACTTATGGGCCCCAATAAGTTGGAGTCTGGGTCAGCCATATCGTACTTGTTATTCAAGTTCAAAATGTTCTTATCGAAAGACATTGTTGGTAAGTTTACCTATAATGTTAAACTCTGCACTATGGAGTGTAGAAGTAAGGACTACCAACTCCCATAGTAGAATAGTTGAAAAAGTGGTCATCTGTAAGCAGTAAATAACAGCTCAAAAACTCTCCACAACAGCGCTGGAGTAGCTACTGGGATGAAATGAACTTAGCAGTTGTCGCCGGTTTAAGATTGCTGCTAAACTGATCAGTAGTTCTAAAATCTAAAATAATTTTATTTAGTAAAATATAACCATAAAAATATAAAATATAATATAAAAGGGGGATGAGTCGCTCGCGTCCGTAGGCTTCGACCACCTAACCTTAGGCCCACCCTACACGTGTCCCCCGGGTGGTGCTAAACGAGCGACAAAGCCGATAAAATAGACTCGGCTCCTCGCCGTATGGTAGCGGCGTAAAATCTACCACCAACCCTTGTTCGCACCATGACTCAAGAAATAAAAGAAATGGCCCCGAGTTCCCGGCGCCCTTTAAATGGGGCAGGGGTGCGAAGAATCTCCGGGAGAAAAACCGGCGACGAGGTTCGCCACCCGTCACGTTCTGTCTCCCGGAGGGGCGAAAAGTGGATTGCGGAAACCCGTCTGGCTACGCTGAATGTATGTGGAGGAATGAATGATAAGATGGATGAAGTATGCGAAATGATGAATGACAGAGGAATAGATGTGTTATGTGTGAATGAGACGAAACGAAAGGGAAAGGAT